GCTGTTGCCCAGAAAGCAAATAATAAAAAAGGAAAATATTTTTTTTTTATTTTGCCATGCACAGCCAGCGATTGCCTTTTAGGTATTTCATTTAAAAACAGCAAATGTTGATCTAAACTGGAGGAGGCACCATGCAAAATAAGGCTGTATGGGCTGCATCCCCACCTAACTGGGCCACACAGTCTGTATTCAGGTCAGTCACAGATCTTGAAAAACTATGGGAACCGCTAAACCAATCAGTGGAACGCAGACAGACCATGAAAAGAAAAGTGAAACAGGGATAATAACTTTAAATGTTCGGTAAAAAAACAAACAAACTGTAAAATGAGAAGATGTCAACGAGTTTAGTTTAATAGGGACACAGACATAAATAGAAAGTGCCAGAATACCTGGCACTTTATATAATATTCTAAATAAAGGTGACAATGTTAGGCTCTGCTTTTCCTTTAAATCCAATGACCTTCCCTTACTGTTTGGTTGCTTTAGCGATTGCATGTAAACATACTCTAATCAAGGATGCTACACCTTTTGGGTTTTGTGTGATATACTAACCCAAAGCCTGATTATAAAAGAAGAAAATTATAATTTTAAGGATGATTTGACGATAAAAATATTCAGTATACAGCATGCATTTATAATCTTCCCACCCGAGTCAAGACTTTGTAAAACACTTTTGCTAGTATTCCAAATGAAAAGACTTTTGATTTACGTTTCAAATAAATAACTCTTTTATAGCTTTATCTCGATTAGCCAGGGGCCCATTTCACAAAGCAGGTCAACCGAAGTTTCGCTGATTTTTCCATTTCACAAACAAGGTTTACTCAAGTTAGGCTGGTCAGGAGCAGGTTTTGTTAAATAAATTCAGAGTTTCTTCCGTCTCCACCCTCCTCAGAGCCAATCACGTTTTATTTCCTGACTTAGTCAAGAGACTTTTCTCATAGTTTTGTGTAAACAAAAATATATATATATAATTTACTAGGTTTGTTAGGAACATTAGAGTCTATAAAGACAAACAGGGCATTTCCTTTTGAGGAGAATCCAATTAAAGAATGAGCGACATTAACCCACAGAAAATTAAATATTTATAAGAAGAGGGTTATTTGACCACATACTTCCATATTCAGAAAGTTTTCTTCATGACGCTACTGTGTAACCTCACAGTTCATCACATCCACAACTTGATGAGAGCACATTGTAGTGGATGATAGCAGCATTCTAGACAACTGCACAAAGTGCACCAGTCCCATAGAATGACTTCAGGGTTTCCCTCCTCTACCTTCTAGTAGGTTTCTTATTGCTGATAATAAGCAACACTGATAACAGCTGCTTCATTTAAAACCTTGTTTTATTTACTATTTACCTACTTTAGAGTTTTTATCTACTCTATTTACAATGACCATTAGAAAGTCTATTATTATAGTTCCAACTAGGAATGTGATTTTGAGCTGGAAAAATCTTATTTAATGATGTACACAGGGAACAATATAGGAGAGCGCTTTTGAGATATGTCGAAATGGCCTGCCATACTAGCCTCGTGAGACCATCCTGATCTTGCGAGCTTTCAAGATTTCACTCGCTAATCAGTCTGGAGACTCTCCATTGCAAAAAAATTGGAGCCATTCACCAAACGAACGTCCAATCTGTTGGCTTTGAGGCGGGTTGAGGTGTGACGCAACGAGAAGCGCGACAGTTCCGTCTAAAGAACATGGCGGCTTCAGCCGATGAAACTAGCGTTAGCGTGGCTATAGAGCAAGTTTTATCGGAATTACAGAGTATTTCTTCACTGAAAGAAGAGCAAAACACTGCTCTGGAGGCTTTTCTCAGAGGAAAAGATGTTTTTGCTCTTCTCCCGACTGGTTTCGGCAAGAGTTTGATCTATCAATTGGCTCCTTTTCGTCATCGCTCTGTTAGTACGTCATATGCTTCGTTGATCTGATTGGTTTATTTGGCCCGTCTATCACCAACATAGGCCAATCAGCTAACCAGTATTTTCGCCCCTTCCCAAAATTACTTCAACGGAAGGTTTCCAGATGGATATGCGGAGCAAATCCATCTGGCGGAGTCAGGTTACTGCCATACAGGATTACAGATAAACATAACTTGAACAGCAACCAAACAATTTCCCTCTCCTTTGCAGCTGTAGTGCTGTTGCTCGGTATTTTTAAACACATTCTCATTTTTTGTTTATAATTTTCATTAAAATCTCTCATTCAATTCTGGGCTCCACTGGTAATGACTTTTCATGCTTGTTATGCATGGGCTCAACTCTGAGTGGACCTACTCAGAGTGGAATAAACTAACACACAGCAGCCGTTGTGAAACAGAAAACTCGGGAGTTTCCGACCTCAGGCTAGATCAATTCAGAGTTGAGGAATAGAGTCTGAGTTTGTAAATCCTGTTTTATGAAACGGGCTCCTGGATGGACAGCATCTGTGGACATCATTGTTTTCAATCTGACGAGGTATGCTCATCTGACAGAACACCGGAATAAATGTAAACAAACATTTTGAAACGTGACGTGAACTTTGTGGTTCTGCCCTTTTGCAGGTCGAAACAAGCTTTTCAAGATTCAAAGCTTTTAAGTCCTTTGAGTTAAAACCTTAATTATATAAAGTCTATTTTGTGATTTGGTTAAAACATAATTATTACATAATAGAATAATGAATTTAAATTGTAAAACTTTTACTAGTAGTAAATTCAAACCAAGGTTGACAACTAGTTAAGAAAATAACTGTTCACTAATTAACCAAACTGGTATTATATTTATTAAGCGCTGGTAGCCTATAATCAAAATGATCAAAAACATATTTTGATTGTGGAATCGTTTTGTTTAGAATGATAATTTATTACTTATAATTTCTGTAATTATTAATAATATTTTAATCAAACAATAATTGAACATGTTTAAAAGCAGTTTATTTTTTGCCTATGATGTTGGTAATGTAAAAAAGATGTGAGGAAATGTAATAATTTCATCCTTATTAACCTGAAATCCATTTTATAATTGAGGAACTTTTTCATTTGTTTTTCTAGGAGCTAACTGGATGTCATGCTTAATAAACTCAGATTCAATTACTTATCTAAGAAAATCAAAAAGGGAAGATATGAAAAATTAATAATTTAAATGGGCAACACAGAAAGAAAAAAAGGGTGCAATCTTTAGATACGTAACCTGTTGCACCGCTTAGATTTAGTGGGTTGGGGAGGCAGCCCAAGGTCAAAAGGTTTATAGTGAAAACAACAGCAGAGCAAAGGCTAACCGTGACCAACTCTGCAGAGCGAAGATGTATGAGGTTCGATTGCTCTTTTAGATAAAACATCCATGTCATACGGTAATGAAGTGAGATCCAAAAAATATAAATGCCTTTTTTTTTTTTTACTTGTTTTAGTCATTGCAGAATTTAAAAAAAATCAAGGTATCTTTGTGATATTTGTGAAGGCCTAGCATACAGTAGTGCATTTTGTGAGGGGAAAGAACATGTATAAAATACTGTATTTAAAAGAAAGCATGAGTTGCTTACATTTTCCTCAAGCTGAGGTCAACAAATTAGACTTAGATTTTATTTTGTACACACAAACGTAAACTTTTTTTTTTTTTTCCTCAGGGAATTTTTGGTTCCCCTGCAAATAATTTTTTTTAAATAATTTTTTTTTAAATTACAGAGCTAACTCAGAAATGTTAAAATATAAGTTATAATTTCCGTAATAATTAATCAAGGTTTCGGGGTAACATTTGTCTCTCCCACCTTTAAAGATCTTGGACTTAATGTTTTTTTATCCATTGTCTTTTGCAAAACTAGCTCACACAGATCCTCAGCTACATTTAGCACTGGACTTTGACTGGACCTTTTTAAATATTATGCTTTGATCTAGAGAATTCCATCCTTCCTCTGACTCTGTTTAATTCGGGTCAAATCTATTGTAAAATGTCTTTAAATATCCAAAAGAGAAATTCAAAATGTATGTAACTTGAACAATCCTATTTACTTTATATAGTCAAAGTATACTGTGTCTGCTGTGGGATCTTCTGCAGCGTTCTCTATTACATCAAATTTACAAGAAACTTTGACTTGAGGCAGGTACTGCCTGTTGCCTTAGTCAGTTTCTTTGTGTTTTGTTTCTTATGTCATACTTGTGCGTGTTGTAAATCTTAAATGATAGGATAGGATTTTCTCCCCGTTTGCTATGGTTTTCTATCAATTTCCTCTGTTGTCTTTCTATCTCAGCAACGTTTCAGCCACCTCAGCTACTCTTTACTTTTATTCCATTGCTCTTATCTGCACTTAATACTTTCCTTTTCCTCCACACATGTATTATACATAATTTTCTCGTCACCATGTCTGGTTCCCTCTTTGTTCAACTACCTTCTCCGTTAAAGTTTGCCCTGGATTTTAGTGGTTTAAATCTAGCTAAGTCATTTTTTATTAAAATAAGTGCATTTGTTCTTGAATTGAGGAGGTAAAAGAGACATTTTGCCAATGGAACAAGAGAATTTACACTTAAAATAAGAAAACACAATTGCATTGTCTTATTTCAAGTGCATATTATCTAATTATCTTATTTTAAGAGTAAAATTACTCATTCCATTGGCAAACTATCTCATTTACCTACTCAAATTAAGGGTGAATACACTTAATTTAAGAAATTTTTACTTATTTCTAGATCGTTTTTGCAGTGTAAAGTAATAGGATTTGAACAAAATGCTAACTCTAAAATATTTTGCATTTTCGGAAAAATGTGAGAGCCATATGTTATCTTTCATGTCACAAATATGCACTACTTTGTCTCAGTCTTATGAATAAATTCCCACTGATCAGAAATCATGTCATATTAAAAATGAAAAAATTAAATACTTATGAATACATGGATGGATTATTCAGGTCAGATCATGAACAGAAATTTGCAGCTTTGATAGCAGAGGTTCTTTGGTCACGGTGGAAGCCTGTATGCACTGATGATAATGTGTGAGAAGGCTTGAGGAAGGATGATGGAAGTAGTACCTGGGATGGCGGTGGGTTCTGTAGCTGTTCTGAAGGAAGTGATGGATGGCTCGGATCGGCCCCGTTGATTCTCTGCTACCACATGGACCTCGTAATCTGTATTCCAATCAAGGCCGTTCAGAATGACATACTCGCTCCTGGGGGGAAGTTTCAGTTCTGGTTTCCAGTCAGACACATGCTTCTGAGGAAGGAAAACAAACAGGACAAATGTCAGCAATGTGTAGTTAAAGGAATGAATACTCTGCTCAGGATAATATAAAATACCTTAATGTGAATTCGAATCACATCAAAAATTAAGTCAAAATGAAATTTTCCCCTCTCTAAATCACTTAAAATTATCAAAATGGGGTCTATTTAGTGAATGAAGTGGAAAAAATCGAAATCTAGATAAGTATTTTTTTCTTAAAATAAGTGCATTTATTCCTGGATTGAGGAGATAAAAGAGACATTTTGCCAATGGAACAAAACAATTTATATTTGAAATAAGAAAAAACAATTGCATTGTCTTATTTTAAGTGCATATTATTTAATTATCTTATTTAAGGAGTAAAAATACTCATTCCATTGGCAAACTACCTATTTTACCTACTCAAATTAAGGGTAAATACACTCAATTTAAGAAATTTTTGCTTATCTCTAGATCGTTTTTCCAGTGTATAAAGACACAGTGAATTTTACTTAACATTTTTTATCTCAGATATATATATAAACAACAAGATGTGTATGCCTATAAACAATTTAGCAAATTTCAGACTATAAACTAATGGCGTAGAATAAAGATCCAGGCAGTACTGGGATTATCTCTGACTGATAACACAGATGTATGGATACACTGACAGAATGATTTTGTACCTAAAAGCCACTTTAGGCAGATAATCTATATTTGCTAATTACTTTTAACACCTGCGGGGGGATTTGTGCTGGTAAGAGGTGACAGGAACCACAGAGTTGTTAACAGCTGTAATTGATTTCAAAAAATGTGAAAGCAGAAAACCTATCCATAAGTTTTAATGTGGGCAAAAAAGGTCACGTTTTGGCAACATCAGATCATTACGTTTAGATGTTTCCTAATTTTCCTTGGATTAATGAATTGATGAACTGACTGTGACATGAAACATTTTCCTTTTTTTTTTTTTTGCCTCTTTTGAAGATGTTTTATTCTGATAAATCACTGATCATCCTGTGACAGGAAACTGAACACGAATTCCTCCTAAGTCTCCCATTTACAAAGTCCCTTGCATCCATCGCACATAATTAAACAAGGGTGGTTTGGCCGCTTTTAAATGTTAATAGAAATGTACTACATTTAAATATTGATCTGTGGATTGACCTTATGAACCTATATTTAATTTGTGTGAGGGGACAGCATATATGACAAAAGTTGGTTAAAAATTAAGAGACAAAAAAAATGTCTGGGAGATAATACGGCATTATCATGCTTCAGTCCGCCACCCCAGGCACCATCTGTGTCGCCAATTTCCCATACGGATGGTTCAGAGTTGGCTTGAGGGACCACACATTTTAATGCCAAATCAGTTTTTCATAGATCTCCACCTTTGCGTGGCGCTATACACATACATACATACATACATACATACATACATAC